CAAGAAACTTCAAAAATTCTTCAATTGTAATACTGGTTCGAGATCCAACATGCTCAAACCAATTGTGACGCGTTTCTGCATCCAATTTGTTAAGCAGAATAAATATCAACCAAGGGTCACGTTCCTTGATGTTTATGGCAGATAACCCTCGCAAGCATTCGTCTGCACCGTCAATAATTTTTCGTAAAATTTTAGGATTCGTTGTTGTTGTGGTTGGCAGTTTCATAAAACTGTGATGAACGATCTTGCTACCAAATGTGGCCTGTCGTACCGTTGCTGAAGTTCATTCCATGCCTCAGTATAAGTTTCATTCGTAACTGGTATGTTCTTTATTAAATCTGCAGCTTCACCGCCCAAAAATGATGATAAATGGTAAAATTTCTGCGTATTTGACAAACTGGCTTTAGAGTCTACCGCGCCTTTGAATATATTGCTGAATGTCTTCCACGCACTGTATTCGCCCGAAAATGTCGGTACTGTCATTTTCGGTAACACTACGTCATTATGTTGCAGCACTAGATTTTGCAACCCTAATTGTAACTCGTTCACTGTTTGCGGCGTTTGCTGCCTACTCGCTGTTTCTTGCTTCTCACGCAGATGTGTCAGAGAACGTTTAAAACAGAGAAGCAGCAACACGCTACTCGTTGGTATTTTGTAATAGATCAGAAATCGGCTAGAAGCTCACCACCAAGGCGTATTTAACAAGGTGGTGTTGGCCGTATATAAGTAAAAAATTACACTAACAAATTATACGCTGATGTCCATACTGTCATTGGTATGAGTTACAACAAACACATCATTTTGACGTAATGGCCTCCACGGCGAAAAACTCAGCTGTCGCCCCAACACCACCTTGTTTAATACACCTTGCTCACCACGTTAAATTTTTAACATCGATAGCTCTAGAAGCTCACCATTTTTTAACAGCGTGAGCGCAGAGCGGCGCAAAATTAACAGAAATTGCAATTGGAGCAATTGGAAATGTTAGCATTTGGTCGGAAAATAGATGCTGCAGGTGGATTACAACAAAGCTTTTTCTTTTGTTTGACATTTTCGCCAATTCGATTTCTGATTGAATTGAATTCCGTTATAATGTCAATCACAAAAGGAACAAGTCAACGGACTTTTAGTTTCCAGAATTTATTCTGGCGGCAGCGTATTTTTATAACGCGATCGAATCGTGAATGCAGAAAGTCGGTCCTAAACGCGAAAAATGGACGGAAAAAAGCGAAAATGTCGTGTAATCGGTTGCGTAAACCAACATCCAAACCTACGTTTTTTCAGGTTCCCGCTGGACAAAGCCGAAGCAGCCAAATGGAGGGACAACCTAAGGATTGGAGCAGAGGAGAAGCTTCCACCCACCTACTCCCTGGTATGCAGCCAACATTTCGAGCCGGAAGCTGTGGGAGGGAAATACCTGAAGAAGGGTGCCCTCCCCACCCTCAACTTAGGTGAGTAATTTGTGCTTATATATATGTATGTACGTATGTGCATGTATATGTGTGTTAATTTGGTGTTACTTTTTTTGCTGTGAAAACGATTTTTTATTAAAAAATACATTTTTTTTCAATGATTTGTACAAAAAAGTGAATTAAAATCGAAATGCTATATACAATTTTCTGATATTTGTGATATTTTGGGAAAATTTTCAAATAGAAAATCCAAAAGTGTTAGAATTTTTTGTGAAAATAATTGTTTTAGTAAAAAAAATTTAATTTTTTTCGGTGATTTGTGCAAGTAACGTGAAATTAAATCGAAAATATTATATAACATTTTCCGATTTTTGCGATATTTTATTAGTGATTGCAAATAGAAAACTCCCATAAGTGTGCGTTTTTTGTGAAAACATTTTTTGATTCAAAAAATCCTATTTTTCCTGTGAATTCTAAATATACCGTGAAAATAGATCTAAAATGTTATATAGTATTTTTTCGATTTTTGTAATATTTTGTTAGATTTTCAATTACATTTATTGGTAGTTTTTCTTTGTAAATAGCATTTTTAGAGGAAAAATAATAATTTTTTCGGTGATTTGTACAAACAACGTTAAAATAAATCGAAAATATTATATACAATTTTCCGATTTTTGTGATATTTTCAAGAATAAAACTGTATTGGTGTTGGATTTTTTGAAAGAAAAAAAACCAAAACCTGTGAAAAGAATTATTTTCCTTTTTTTTTGTAGAGATCTCCATAAACTAAGTCGAAAGTGAGTATGAATTTTTTCCATATATTCGATATTTATGGAAATATTTCAGTTTTTCATTATTTTCGACTTAGAATTTTTTTTAGAAAAAATCCAAAAACTGTGAAATAAATTATTTGTGATTTTATTTTAAAAGATCTTACCAAACTAAGTCGAAAGTCTTAATGAATTTTTTCTATATTTTCAATATAAATGGAAATATTTCAGTTTTTCATTATTTTCGACTTGGAATTTTTTTTGAAAAAATACTAAAAATTCGAAAACGTCGGATTTTTCCAGTAATTAGTAAAGATCTCTGAACTAAGCCGAAACTATTTTAGAATTATTTTCCATATTTTCGATATTTATGGAAATAATTAAGTTTTTAAATCTTTTGGACTTAGAATTTTTTGAAAGAAAACCCAAAAACTGTAAATAGATTTATTTAACATTTTTTTATAAAGATCTCCCTAAAAAAAGTCGAAAGTCTATATGAATGTTTTCTATATTTTCGATATTTATGGAAATATTTCAGTTTTTCATTATTTTCGACTTGGAATTTTTTTTGAAAAAATACTAAAAATTCGAAAACGTCGAATTTTTCCAGCAATTAGTAAAGATCTCGATGAACTAAGCCGAAACTATTTAAGAATTATTTTCCATATTTTCGATATTTATGGAAATAATTAAGTTTTTAAATATTTTCAACTTAGAATTTTTTTTGGAACAAAAATATAAATCTGAAATCGTCTGATTTTCCCAAGAATTAGTAAACATCTCGCCGTGTTAAGTCTGAAATATTTAATTTATTCTTAATTTTTTCGATATTTAGGGATATAATACAATTTTCAAATTTAGATTTCACTATATATTTTAATAAATCAAAGAAAATTAAGAAATTTTTTTCCGATTAGGCTATGATGATGACCCCCCTCACAGCTGCATGATGCCTAAGCGGATGCGCTCTTGTTGCGTGAGCTGCTGCGTATCTACATCGAAGCAGATCCTGTTCGAGTTTCCTCGACAGGAGGAGGCTCGAAATAGTTGGGCTCTGGCTTGCAATGTAGATGCGTCCCTCCCTGACAGGCTATTTGTTTGTCAACGCCACTTTGAGCCACAGAATGTAACTAAGACTAAACTTTTAAATAGAGCCGTTCCCTGTTTGAATTTGGAGCCCGACACTAGAAGTCGCTCACCTAGTGTCGGCTCTGATTGGCATTGCCCACCTGTCACTAAAACTTATGATAGAATTCCTGTAGATGATGAAGGAGCCTTAACTCTAGAAGAGTTCTAGAAATATTCCCTGTTAGAGGAAAAAAGGCAGGCTAGTTTAGGAAATGCCGCCAGTGTGGGCTCTGACATCACTGCCAGTCGCGAACGATTTGCTCAGGCTGCTCGTTATTACCAGAGCAACGCTTTAAAATTAAACGAAAGAATTAAAGAACTTGAGCGCGAAAATGCGGATTTGATAAACCGAGTTAGAGAGTTTTCTAAAAGTGCAATAATCGCGCATCCAGGTTCAAGTTCTGATTCCATAAATTTTGCCAAAATGATTGTTTCGCCAAAGAATTGCCGGTATAGCGATGACCAGAAGGCATTGGCGCAAAATGTAAAT